GACCGAAGGAATGATAACAACAATAATAATACCAGGTTATATATATAAGGCAAGTTATCAGGCTGTATGAATACACTGATATGATTATGAGCAAACAAATACTGCTCGAAACATTATCCAGTCACTGATACTCTATCATAGTATGTCATATAAAAAAAACCTATCTGTTATGAGAAAAGACCTAACTACTATGCATAAGCTGTTGCATAGTTAGCGAATACTATTTAGAACAAAATATTTAGAGCGAACAATTGTGGTTTCAATAAATTCCCCTTCTTTAGGTTCTACAATTTGTATATCCATTAATTTAAGCATACAATAGCCAGTAAAGGCAAATTAGAGTCATATCAGAAAGTGTATTGCGGAACAAGTATAGGTAAGATGGGATGGAACAATAGTCAGTTTTTTAATATGCATGGTCAATGAGAACATGGGACAAAATGAGATGAAGTAATTTAATTTAATGATGTGTGTGTATATATATAAATATAGTCAACAGCAAAATACGGGTTTCGAGAGTGAGTGTAATCAGGGTGTGTGAGACAATATGAAAATAAACCAACGAATGGGGCGGTCTAGACATAAATTCAAGGTTGAAAATAACGACAGTAAGAATGATTGTAAAATAATAACGATGATATGGTGTAAAATTACAAGCGCTATTGGTGAATGATTGTCAAACAATAATAATCACGAAAAATACCCATTTATTCATAAGTAAAAACACAGTTTTTGTTCAGCGAAGAAATTTCTTTTCAACGACTTCATTTTCAAGCTGTACAGTCGTATTTATATTACAGAAAAGGTCATTAAGTGGCACTAAATAATTGCTCAGTCAATATACATATATGTGATAAGAATAACGATAATTAAAATGTTATACGGGGTAGAGTTGAAGTGGATAAATTGCAAAATTATGAAAGATTGTTTTATAGATGAATTGAAATCAAAAATGTTTTAAAAATGTCAAGTGTTGTCTAAAAATTTTAAAAAATTAAGAGTACGATTACGATAAGAATGAAGATGTGAAGTGAAGTGGAAAGAATTCAAGTGGTAAAATAAAATAAAGTAAAACTAGAAAGAACATTACTATGACCAAGGTAAAGAAAGGGGTTTGACAAAACGTTTTTGAACACATAATTTAGGTTTCTGTTCATGTATAGCTAAAGCTTCGGCTCTGCATAAGTGAAGAAAACGTTAGCCTTTGGAGCGATTCGATTTTGCCATGTAGATAACCCTGAAGGATGAATCACGTGGGGCTGAATGACCTGACTCTAACAGGTGATCACAGATAGATGACTTCGCAATTCTACGTTCGCCTTTCATTAACCAGACTGGATAGTGTTCAGCTACACGTTTTCGGAGATTACGCTTACAACGTCCAATATAAACAGCTCCACAAGAGCAGGTAAAATAGTAAACACACATGGATGTGGACAAAAGCGGTAATCTATCCTTGACGCGTTGTCTAATCATATTTCGGCTGGTAAAAACTAGTTGTAAATCAGCTGCAGGAAAAGTACGTTTAATACATTTAGATAAACGATTTTTAATACCAGTACCAAAGAACGCAAGGCAGACAACGACATATGTTATCAAAAGAACACAAAAGACAGCTTAATGAATTGCTTAACAACAAAAACATAATACTGATTCGTCCAGACAAAGGATCTGGTATTGTCATTCTTAATCGTGATGACTATGTCAAAAAATTATGTACCATTCTGAGTGATGAAGAAAAATTTCAAAAATCACCCGATCAAAAAGACAAGACAGAGAATATTGAGAAAGAATTATCAAAAACTTTGTCAAAACTCAAGCAAGAATGCGTCATTACTCCATATATGTTTGAACAGCTTAAACCATCTGGTTCAACTATCCCCCGTTTATATGGTCTTCCAAAGGTGCACAAAGATGATGTCCCTCTGCGACCTGTATTGGATATACTGAATTCACCGTATCACCCTACCGCTAAAAGGCTTGCGGAAATTCTGGAACCAGTGAGATTAAATCCATGTAAACAGAGTCTTTCGGACACTTTTGACTTTGTCAGTTGTGTTGATGAAATTAATGTGTCTGGTAAGCATATGATTTCGCTAGATGTTTGTTCTTTGTTCACAAATGTACCATTAGTAGACACTATCTGCTATCTATGTGAATATATTGATTCAAATAGCATGAACATTGGCCTACCAACTGAATATCTTAAACAACTATTATTGAGATGCACACTGAATGTGCAATTTAGATTTAATGATGTCATCTACAATCAAAGGGATGGAGTAGCAATGGGGTCTCCTTTAGGACCGCTCTTAGCCGACGTCTTCATGGCTAGCTTAGAGAATGGCCCACTAAAGGAAACCATCGGTAGTTTGTTTATGTATAAAAGATATATAGATGACACTTTCATTGTATGTGACGAAAACTCTTCAACTGCTGAACTTCTTGGAATATTTAATGGTTCTCACCCATCTTTGATTTTCACGGTCGAAGAAGAGTCGAATTCCTCATTTCACTTCCTTGATGTAAAGCTAGATAGAAGAGAGAATGGTACGTTGCTAAGGTCGATTTACCGAAAGCCAACATTCACTGGGCAGCACACTAACTTCAACAGTTGGGTACTGTTAGGGAGAAAGAGAAATCTTATTCATTCCTTATGCTCTAGAATTCGTAAAATCTGCTCTGCAGAGACAATCGATAGTGAACTAGATAAGCTTTGATCAAATCTCCTTAATAATGGTTATCCTACAAGGTTTATCGAACGTAATATCAAGAAAGAACACGCCCCCAGACAAATTACAGTGCCAAAGAAGAAACTGTTTATGAGTCTGGCATTCAAAGGTGACACTATTTCGGAATTGATTAAAAATCGTTTATCTAAATGTATTAAACGTACTTTTCCTGCAGCTGATTTACAACTAGTTTTTACCAGCCGAAATATGATTAGACAATGCGTCAAGGATAGATTACCGCTTTTGTCCACATCCATGTGTATTTACTATTTTACCTGCTCTTGTGGAGCTGTTTATATTGGACGTTGTAAGCGTAATCTCCGAAAACGTGTAGCTGAACACTATCCAGTCTGGTTAATGAAAGGCGAACGTAGAATTGCGAAGTCATCTATCTGTGATCACCTGTTAGAGTCAGGTCATTCAGCCCCACGTGATTCATCCTTCAGGGTTATCTACATGGCAAAATCGAATCGCTCCAAAGGCTAACGTTTTCTTCACTTATGCAGAGCCGAAGCTTTAGCTATACATGAACAGAAACCTAAATTATGTGTTCAAAAACGTTTTGTCAAACCCCTTTCTTTACCTTGGTCATAGTAATGTTCTTTCTAGTTTTACTTTATTTTATTTTACCACTTGAATTCTTTCCACTTCACTTCACATCTTCATTCTTATCGTAATCGTACTCTTAATTTTTTAAAATTTTTAGACAACACTTGACATTTTTAAAACATTTTTGATTTCAATTCATCTATAAAACAATCTTTCATAATTTTGCAATTTATCCACTTCAACTCTACCCCGTATAACATTTTAATTATCGTTATTCTTATCACATATATGTATATTGACTGAGCAATTATTTAGTGCCACTTAATGACCTTTTCTGTAATATAAATACGACTGTACAGCTTGAAAATGAAGTCGTTGAAAAGAAATTTCTTCGCTGAACAAAAACTGTGTTTTTACTTATGAATAAATGGGTATTTTTCGTGATTATTATTGTTTGACAATCATTCACCAATAGCGCTTGTAATTTTACACCATATCATCGTTATTATTTTACAATCATTCTTACTGTCGTTATTTTCAACCTTGAATTTATGTCTAGACCGCCCCATTCGTTGGTTTATTTTCATATTGTCTCACACACCCTGATTACACTCACTCTCGAAACCCGTATTTTGCTGTTGACTATATTTATATATATACACACACATCATTAAATTAAATTACTTCATCTCATTTTGTCCCATGTTCTCATTGACCATGCATATTAAAAAACTGACTATTGTTCCATCCCATCTTACCTATACGTGTTCCGCAATACACTTTCTGATATGATTCTAATTTGCCTTTACTGGCTATTGTATGCTTAGATTAATGGATTTATAATTGTAGAGCCTGAAGAAGGGGAAGTTATTGAAACCACAATTGTTCGCTCTAAATATTTTGTTCTGAATAAATTATGGGAATATTCAATTTACTGAAATACTATTTAGCCTAGTATAAATGCTAACCGGTACTATTATTTTATGAGTTTATACACAGAATAAGACTTGTGAAGAATGGCTACACACCCTGGAAGTATGGTTTTCTATAATTCACACAACTAAAACTTTCTAGAGCCTTAGTTGTCTAGGACTTGAAGGGCAGTTGAAGGAACATGTGTCTACCTGTACTTCAACATACATATAAGTTTAAGTATTCATTAGGAATTAGGATGCCCCTTGTGTTCCAGCCAAGCGTAAGCTTATTCAGATATTGAGTTACAAAGTCAGTTATCCACATTTTAAAAACTTTTTACTTTTCAATTCGTTTTGACACCTATAGAATTTCAACTGTTGGTCTGCAGGAATTTGATTGGTTACAGGATTTCATCAAGAGCTGATATCAGTTGGAGAACTATTACAAAACCAACAGGGAATACTGAATAGCTGTTTCATCAGCCTAGTTTGGGACTCTTCATCAGCACCCACCCACCTTCAGGGGTTTGAACCCGAGACCTTCCGGTTACAACGTGGGCTCGTGGACCATTAAGCCACTGAGGGTCTATTCAATGGCCAGTCCGTGAAGTCCAACCACTAGCCACCAATGTCATCGCTGGCGAGAATTTATCCTCACCCGTCCCATACTAGGATGAAACAACTGTCCAGTACTCCCAGGTTTTCCCGCAGTTCTCTAACCGAAGTCAGTTCATAATGAAATCCTGTAACTTAGATAATTCTCTAACGGTATGAATGAAAATGACAGGATACATAAACTCCTTACCTTGATTCAACATTCTTCGACTGAGTAGAATCATCCGCTGTTGGTGCACTGGATGCCAATCTTTCACGATCTGATGCAGTTTTTTGCACTGAAGGTGACGAATCTCTGTTTTTACCACTGCTACGACTACTGCTCTGGCTGTTGTCACTCATATTCCGTTGGGTGTCTGTATTAGTGTCGTGATTATCAGCACTCTCTTCTGAAGACTTCTTCGTTGAACGCTTGTCCACGTGTGAAGATTTACGATCTGTTTCTGAAGGCTTTTGTTTCTCTGAAGTTGACTGTTGTTTATTAGAGCTTTCTGTAGCCTACAACAATGAAAAAGTTGAAAATTAATTATTCTGAATTAATAAAAGTGTCATTTAGATGCGTTAGAAAAGGTTTGGAAAGAAGTAAAGGTACCTACCGATTGGAAGAAAAGCTACCTTATTAAGCCACTAAAGAAGGGCGACTTACACCTCTGCAAGAACTGGCGTGGAATAGTGCTCTTGTCCACGCCAAGTAAAATACTAAGTCGCATCATCCTGGAGAGAATAAAGGATGCACTGGATGCAGAACACCGCCAACCCAGGATTCAGGAAAGACAAATTATATGCTGATCAAATTGCAACTCTATGCATCATCATCGAACAAAGCATTCAGTGACAGTTAAACCTCTACCTCAAATTCATCGACTTCGAAAAGGCCTTCGACAGACAGTGTTTACTGAAAAGTAATTTCGGAACTGCTTCAACACTACGGCGTACAATCCCTAAATCTGTATCAACCTCATTTAACAGCTATATGAAAATGCCACGTGTCAGGTTGTCCACAACGGAAAACTCAGAGAGGCGTTTGAAGCGAATGCAGGAGTAAGACATAGTTGTATATTGTCACCGATGATATTCCTAACTGTGGTGGACTGGATTAAGCGTCAGACTATGAACAGGGAGTGAGAGGGCAGCAATACGTTGGACTCACGAATAAGAAGACTCTAAAAATCTGGATTTCCCGTGTGGATGATTTATGTTTAATGTCACACAACCTCGAAGACTTGCAGACAGGCTAAAACCAACAAACTGGCAGAAGACGCTGGCTGGCAGCGAAAACAGGACTCTAGGTGAACATACAGAAGACGAACGGAGGTGATGAAGATAATCAAACAACCAACCAACAGCAACACCATCAATGGGAGAGATTTGGAAGAGATTACTACATTCACTTATCTAGAAAGCACGGTTTCAATTACAGGCAGTCGGAATGGATGAAGACGTCAAAGCCAGCCAGCCAGAATCAGAAAGGCAAGATATGCCTTTATCAACTTGAAACCAATGTGGAAATCTTCTGCACTAACTCAGCCAGCATAATGAACAAGATTCCGATTTTCAACACAAATGTGAAGTCAGTCAGTCAGTCACTTCTTCTATACGGCTCAGAAACTTGACCAGCGTGTCACGGAAAGGATTCCCAACAAGCCACTGCAGACTTTAATCAACAGATGCCATCTTCGCCAGCTGGCTCCATACTGGAGATCATATGGCCAAACAGCCGACGGGCCAGAAAGAATTAGCAAGAAGAAACTGTGCAGTGGAACAAACTAACAGGCGAGAGCCGACTGCTTAACAAATATGTAGGAGAAAATGGAGATGGATCAGGCCGTCGAAAGACATGGTACGCTAGGAATAACCTAGAGCCAAATTCCAATGGGAAGCATGCGACGAGTGGCTTGTCCGAGGGTTACATGGAGGAGATCGTGCCAGGAAATGAGAGATTATGGGCAATCGTGGACCCAGATGAGGAGGACAGCAGAAAATAAAACAAAGTGGAGATGTGTTGTTGAAGCCCTATGCATCACTCGAAACCCAAGGGAATAGTAATGTATATTATTAAAAGCCGTATAGTATATTCCATGAAGACGGATAAGTTCCCATAGTTCCGACTGGAATATAAATTTCAAGTTTCAGTAACAGCATTGCTTTACTTACGGGATGGGATTGCTAGTCTCATGTTCGACCTTTTATCTTTGCAGGACTTACTACAGGAGCTTTAGAAATGGGTCAGTCGAGAATGGAACACGGAGCACCTGCATAGTTGGTGAGAATTCTACTCTGGAACCATAGATGCACAAAAGCGCTCCCGGGTAACCTGGGTGAACATAAAGAATTCTCACCACTATACCATATGCTCAATCATAAAACCTGGAGAAACCAAACAGATAAGCCTTATAAAAGGAAGAGTAGAGCGAATCATCTAAAAGGAATGTTGAGTGATACATATAAAAAAGTCAATCACGCTTATGCATTTCATAAGGGAAATAAACACATGGCATGGTGGGAACTGCGTTTTGGTAGAAATTTCATTCACTAACCACTGCGATTCTTGGCCATATCAGAAAACGCTTCGAGTCACTGATTCCAGCTATCTCTCGGACACTAACCAGGGAATCATGACGCACCAACTGATGCTAACGTACCACAAATATCCTTCATCACACGACGCCAAGTCGCAGATTGCTTCTCACGGTGTTCAGAAGACTCTGCATTTTGTGAGCGTCTCCACCTAGATGGACTATATCTTCTGCATATTCGAAGTCAACGAGATTATTCCCTGGTCGTAACAAGTCAATCTCTGAGTCACTGAAGTCAGTTAGGGCTAAGTCCATTAAACCATCTATGATGAAATTAAACAAAGATGAGGATAGTGGGAATCCCTGACGGACACCACCACACTAGTTGTCACCACTTCAGATGACCTGGTTGACTTCACACCTTGAGCAGCAATCTACGAATGTTTGGTGTGTGATTCACCCTCTCCTGTTAAATGAGAGGATGCTACAGGACTGGACTACATCGACGCCTAGCTTAAAAATAGAGAGCGAAGTGCTTGGTAGAGCGTGTTGACCACTTCACTTATTTCAGAAGTTGCATCAATCCCAACGCGAACGGGTTGTTCGCTGACGAAATCTCAGCACGGACAGAGAAGGCTCCTCTGGAATTCACCAACTCACGCCACCTCTGTTGTAGACTTAATATCCGACTAGCTGGCGGCTATCGACCAAAGGACGTGTGCATTGCTCAGCAGTTTGCTCTGTCCTCCTCCACGACTGTGAGACATGGCTACTGAAAGTGGAGGACACGAGAAGGTTGGCCAGCTGTCTTTGATCATAAATGTTTGAGTTCTATTTACCGTGTTGAGTAGTATAACAAGGTGAGCAATATTGAAGTTAGGCATCAGTCAAGTGAAGTGTTTGGTGAGGAGGAAAAATCAGTCGGTGAGATTGTTAAGTTATATCGATCGAGATGGTTAGGAGATGTGTTACGCATGCATTCCTAGCCATCAATCGCCTTCTTCGACCTGCACTGTTGGCCACTGACATAGGATCGATCAGGTGGGAAAAGGGTTAGCGAGTGATGGTTAAATCAAAACATGGCTTCATCAGTCAATCAAATCCACAACAGTTAAAGCCAAGTAGGGAGGTGGTGTAGACTGACTGGCTGTTTGGTTGGGGTCCTCGGGATAGTAAGGACCAAGTACGGTTGGAGACAACTGGTGATGACATGGATCAAAATCGTTCTCCTTGATGGCGCAGATGCATTCACTCTCTGTCATATCCAATGAAACTTTATTGTTCTTCTATATTACTACTGTCTTTCCATCATACCTCTGATTATCTCTTTTGAATCTCTGTTTACTCTCTTCTCTTGCTATGCTACATGGAGGGAGAGTGGCACCTTGAACTGCTGCACATCTGTGCGAAGTTCTACGTTGAAACAAGTTAGTCAGTAGAATGTATGGTAGTATTACAAATTCATAACGTAGGATAACCTCCAAAGCCTCAGGATGGTCGGCGGTGGGTGCATTGCGCTGCGGGTTGGCCACCCCTCCGCACACCTCTTGAAATGCTCCCATATGACCGGGCGTCTTACATAGCCTCTCCTGAGGAAGTCCTACTCACTGCCTTCAAGTGGCGGAGGTGTTTCTCACCAAAGTGAGAGGGTGAAAGCGGATGCCCGGCGCTCTTCACCGGGTTGACTGTCCATTGGATGACAGTCTAGGGGAGATCGCTAAACCCTGATTCCAAACCTCCAACGACTGGCGTATGAAGCTCACTGGAGCTCACCGGCAGACGTATGGACAAAGGGTTTGTTGGATGTTCTGGATGTCTGGCCCCATTCAAAAAGGCGTAAGAACCGAACTCCGGTCACAGGCTGCCAATGGATAGTGGACTCCCTACTCCACTCCTACTGCCTTGTAGGTCACACTTGGTTGTGTAAAGGCTAGAGCTGCACTCTCAAACAAAGGGCCGAGCGATTCTGGGGACATCACTCGTACCAAATTCCCATGAAACTTCATGAACTCTCTTCATCAGATCGCCGCGCCTGGGCAGCGATGATTCGAGATGTTCATGAAGCCGGCTCATCCTCCCGTAGGAGATAGCCGAAGTAAAGTAAAAGCAAGTATAACCTATTAAACGAGTAGTTGACTTTAGGGACACCTAGACCTATGAGTTACTTAAGTACATAGCATCAGTATTATTTTCCGTTAGAAATCGATCATATTCTAAACTAATTAATTCATATGTAATGGAACGAAAGCCATAAAAAATTCAAATAGAAAAGGATGAGAAAAAGTGATCATTTTGACATAACTAATTTGTACAGTAATAACTCTATTGATACAGTTCTAGAGGCAGTTCAGAATGAACCAGACATTGGTCCCGTTATTTTAAGGAGGGAACATCAGAGGCTCTATATAGGATTCTTAATAAGACTGGAATTACGGTGGCAATTAAACCACTTAGATACAAACTTTGTCGGCAGTTGCAATTTGAAGAAATACAATTTACAAGTATTGTTTTTGTAGGGATTTTTGTTTCATTGCATGGAGGATTTCATCATGAGCTGACATCAGTTAGAGAACCACTGGAAAACCTGGGAGTACGAGCTCGCCTTGTAACCAGAAGGTCCTGGGTTCCGAATCCCGGTGGGTGCGTATTGCCGAAGAGTCCTAAACTAGGACGAAACAGCCGTCCAGTACTCCCAGGTTTTTCAGTGGTACTCTAACTGATGTCAGCTCATGATGAAATCCTCCATGCAAATACAATTTAAATAATAGGTAATGGCTTGTAGGTCAATTGCACAGGTCAAACTAGTAGATCGGGGTCAAATTAGATTATCGGAATATGGAAATTTAGGTGGATCTAGATTGATTGATTCTGCCAAATTAAATAATCTGGAAAAAGGGTTGGACACTGTAATGCATTCGTTTGCAGGTAAGCACCATAGGGTGGGACATGGTGAAAGTATTAATAAGTAATATAGTTAGGTGGAGAGAGAGAGGTTAATCACTGAATACTTATTTATCGAATCAACACCAAATATGTACAGTTGAAGTGACACAACACTTATAGCGCATGCATAAGAAATCTCAATTTGAAACACACCAAGGAGTAAGACCCCCATAAAGCAAGTTATCAAGTTGTCTGAATACATTGATATGGTTATAAGCAATAAATTGTGCTGGAAACAGTGATATGCAGTTTACAATCTATAATTGGCACTGAGGTATTCTAAATAGCATGGCTTTGGTGACTCGTATATAACAACCTCATATATCAAGAACCACTCGTCACTCCACATGATTATTACAAAAACTGAAAAATGAATAGTATCACACTAATTTGTTTATTGGATATCACACACCGGAATAGTAATATATAGTAGATGACGTTTTCAAGTGAATATGAAGTAAACTGATAAATATGATTGCGTAATCTAGTGAATAATACTATTTTGATGGGATATATCCAATAATATATTGCCAAAGCCCAAATTCTGAATAATGAATGCTGATAAAGATAGAAGGCTATATACCAACAGATTGTTTATCACAAGCGACTGTGTGTGATTGACTAGAACTCAAGGTTTGCCAGACAACGTGCACTGGTTTACAACATTCTTCCCAAGGAAAGATCATTAATGTCAGGATTGTGAAGCAAAGAGGACGTGGCGAAATAAGTGCTAAATACTTCTCCATTAGATAAAAACCTTACTAGTTACACAAAACAACTCATTAAAAAATAACATAAATAAAAATGGTCTTACTGGATCCGATTCATTGTCTTTGCCTTGAGAATCATACATATAACGATAAAACCCTCCTAGGCCGTCTTGTTTACGAATATCCATAACACTTTCCAATTGTTCCTCCTCGACATGCTTTGTAACAAGTGCACGAAGCTCAGTTAGTTTTTCTCTATACGCTGAAGTAACGAAAGACTCCTTATCACCATATAAATCAGCTTCTTTCTCAATATCCTTCTGAGCCTTCCGTTCAGCACAGAGCTCCCTTTCAAGCTTACGTTCATTTGAAGCTTTTATCAGCTTGCCTACATATTTAGACTGCAAAATATAGAACCACAATTTTTACCTTTCTGACAGTTGTCTCTGAAACATCCTTTGACTTTTTATCATGAATTTCGTCTAAAACCTCATCATATTGAAAAATCGAAGGGTCCTCCTCAAAAGCTTTTTCTAGATCTGATTTTGTCTAAAACTCCGTAAACAGGGCATATATTATCTCACCTTGCGATTGATTTTACTCTGAGCAATTGTAGTTGACCGGGAATAATCAGCTCGTTTCTAAAGTAGTTAGACAACGGGGAAAATCCGACCTACAAATTCTCTTTCTTCTTCTTCATCTGATTCCTGATTGAAAACTGAACTAACTGATAGCTTCTGTTCGTTTTTCCGCTGCCGAGTAGGGAAACTAAGTCCATAAACCTTCTCATGACTTTGGTTCATAACAGACACCACGAACGCCAAATGTTCCAATAGCCAGTAGAGTCAGATAATAAAGCAAGTGGGCTCTTGTGGCCTGTACACGTGTTAATCCGTGTAGTATATATCTGCAGAGATCTAATTTTCCTTTGAAAGAGTTAACCGGTAAGAGTAAACAGCAGACACCAAAGTCAAATGACCTTGATTTCAATAATCAATATCCTGATTACGAGCTAGTATAAACCAGTGATTTCTTTGAGCTCGCTTCTTGATTGTAAGGTAGAGGTTCCAGATCTTCGGTGAACTTATGCGTAGTAAATCCCGCCACTTGACTGCTTTAGCTCTGGTAGACTCCAAGAGGAGTGGTGCGAGGATTGGTCAAGATTGTGGTTTGTAGTGTGTAATATGTTAGGACTCAGCTGCTGCCGTGAATGGAGTTTGACCTAACACCCGTTGGTCATTCGGTGGAGTCATAAAAGTAGAATAATAATAATAGGTTGTAGTGTAGATAATATAGGTTGAGATAAGTGAAATAATAAAGGTGACCAAAGAAAAGATAGAGTAGTCGGTACAGTGAGAGAAGACAGGACAATCAGATAGCTCCAATATCCAATATCGTTTTCACGAACTAGTATTAACCAATTTGATTTCTTCATGCTCTCCTCTTGATTGTGAGGTTTAGGTTCCTGATCTTAGGTTAACTCCCGCCACTCGACTGTCGTAGCTTTGGTTAACTCCAAAAGAAGTAGTGCTGAGATAAATTATATATGGTTTGTAGTAGGAAGTGTGTTAAGACTGTTACTACTCTGAATGGAGTTGATCCTTTCACCAGTAAGTCCTCCGGTACCGTCATCAAAAGAAAAGGGATAATAATAATAAATATAATTAGTGAAGTTATTCAGACTAACAGATAGAAAAAGAAATAAAGAAAACGTAAAAACAGACAACTGATAAAATTTGAAGCTGATATATATATTGGTAACAATAATAATAAGTGTAATTAGATTTGTCAGGAGAGTAAGACGGCAGAGAATATAAGGAAGTAAAACGATGAACTTAGTTATCTACCCCGTGATAGTGTATGGGATTGTAAGGGGATAGGCCATTTGGACGCAGTCCTTGTGTCGCTGCATGTTTGTCCAGCCTTCCCTTAAGGGCGTCCATAGCTACATCTACCGTTAAGGAACGCGAGACGGCAAACCCGCAGTAAAAAGAAGTGGGAGCGCACCCGAGTCCTTGCCCTCTGGTGAGCTATCCTTCTGGGATTTTCACGGGGAAGCCTATACCTATTCAATGGCAGAACACCTTTGTTTGGGTGATTCTGGTCATTTGTTATTTTGTAGGCAGTAATCAAATCATCCCTAAGCCGATGGTAGCTAAGTGTGAATAGGCCTAATTTCTTTAGCCTTTCATTATATGGTTTATTCCTTTCGTTGCCCATCTTTGGAATCTTTCCAAGAGATTGGCATCTCTTCTAAGCAGTGGGGGTGCAGTAATATTATGCACTTCAAGGTGTGGTCTGACGTATGTTTTGTACAACCTTAGAAAGAGCTCAGGAGTGAGTTCACCTAACTGTCTACGTGTAAAGTGTATGACCGTATATGCCCTCGCTACGTACCCGTGTAATTTACGCTTGTGTTCATTTTTTTCCGCTAGAACTAGACCTAAGTCACGCTCCGACGTTGTGCAGGACAACCTTTCATTGCACAGGGTGCAACTCGCATTCTGCAGTCTACATGTGCACAATTTCTTTACTTTGCACTTTTTCAGGGTGAAAGACATGCCACTGTCCACCGCCCAGTCTTCCAGAAGCTTTAGGTCTGCCTGCAGCCTATCTGAGTCCTCCAGACACTTTATCACCCTCCATATCTTTACGTCGTCAGCGTATAGAACAGTCGGGCAGCTTAGACGGCATGGTAGATCATTGATAAAAAATAAAAAACATCAGTGGTCCTAGGATAGAACCCTGTGACACTCCTGATTACGAGTTGTGCCAAGATGATCGGACTCGATTGACCTTAGTACAAAATTGCCTTTCAGCTAGGCAGTCCTTTAACCATGACAGAAGTGGCTTACCTATACTTGCCTGGCCTATTTTGTGTAGGAGAAGGTCATGGTGATCGGTGTCAAACGCCTTCTCAAAGTCTAGGAAGACCACATGGACTGGAACATTCATTTCTCAGCATGATGTCCAATCGTCACAAGCTGATCGTAGGTTTGTTACACAGGATATGCCTTTCCTGAAACCGTGTTGGGCTTCGGGGAGTATATTAGACCCATTGAAGTAATCCTTGATATGATCGTCAATAATACTTTCTAGTACTTCTGATACCACTGGGAGTAGAGCTACTGGTCTGTAACTATTGGCATTTTGCTTATCCCCACCCTTGAAGATCGGAGAAAGGATGCTTCTTTTCCACTCCCATGGCAGTTTCCCTGATTCCATGGAGTGTTGTAACAAGTCGCACGAGGGCCCACAGACAGCTTTGGCGCACTATTTCAGAACAGATGGCCTGATTTCGTCACAACCTGGGGACTTTCCAGGTGTGTCGCTGTAGCTTCCCTAGTACTATTGCCGGGTCTAGTTGGGGAGTAGCCACTAGGTCTTTCTCCTGTGAAATAGTAGTGCCACCATTTTGGTCCGTAACGGTAATACCCACATTGCTGTTTAACTGTTTGGCGAAGACTAAACTAAATGTTTCAGCCATCTCCAGACTAGTGAGATATTGACCATTTGGGCCTACTAAGGCGTATGCCCCCTGGTTGGCTGTTTTTGTTCCGACATGAATCGGTACAAGTTTTCTGGGGTTGCTAGGAGTTTTTGGCAAGGTTAACCTAGAATGACCTCCTTTCATTCCTGAGTCCCGCGCTGCACCGGTTTCTGAGTTCCAGGTATGCTTGGTGGTCGGTCTGACCATAGTCTTCTCATAAGGAAGGTATGAGATGCCACTAACTAATTTTGTTTCTACTCTGTATTCTTTCCAGGATATGTGCTCATTCTTGAAGCGTGAACTCATCGCTTGTGTTCAGTCTTCTAGATGTAGCCTGAAACATGTCGCATAGAGTACTTGGAAAGCCATTCGAAGTGCTCATAACATTTGATAAGCCATAGCTGGGTCTGTACTTTCTCAACTCCTGTCGGAAGAGCTGAAATTCATAAACCTTCTTCACGCTAAGGAAATACCCACAAGCAGTAGAAATCCATTAATTAATGCGTCTGAAGCTAATATATTTACTCCCAACAATGACATTGCAGACCAAATGAGATAAACATATCACTGATTTCAAAATAACACATCAATGAACTATAATTCAAGGACTCTGCACACAACGAAGTTATGTATGAAAATTGACTTCAAGCTTTATTTTTTTCCCAGGCACTTATAATCCATCCAACAAAGACCTGGTTCTTTTGTTAATGCGAAGACAATACTTCTGTATTTCCTGATGTGTTGCACTCACTGTCAATCTAGCAGGTTTATCCAACTGTGCACAGAAATGATTGTATGCAAGTGAAAAGGCTGTTTTATACTACTGGGATTAACATTTATCAAGTGTATGTATAATCTCCAGCGAACATGTAAGGCATATCTTGCCACTGTCTGTAAATTGTGATTGAATTATGTGGTTCTATTTCTGTAACAATTTGATAATGCCTGTAAACTGGCGTCCCCCATGTACTGTACTATGAGAATAAATTTATTTATATTTATACTTAATTTGCAGCCGTTTTTAATATATGGCTGACAATAATTCCTAAGTCCCTTTGTCCCTGGCAATAATGTACGACTTGTAAGACCTCCAGCCTAAGTGCACTACCACGCTTTACTTGCAATTCATTCTCAGATTCCGGAGGTTTGACCATTCAGTCAATTTATCTAGATCACTTTGCAAGGCCTACTTATCATCATTTTTATTTACAGTTTTCCAGATCATAGCGCTGTCCGCAAATAATAGCGAATTTGAGGTGAGGACTTTCGGTAGTTCATTTACGTCTTATGGGATTAGCAATGGGTCTAGCACAATTCTCTGAAGTACTGCACTTAATACTGCTTTCCACCATGACAATACACCATTAACCCTCAAATTTTGACTCCTATTCATGAGGTAGTTCCTAAACAGTTAACATAGCCATTGGTGGAATCCAAAACCTCTTACTTTACTAAGGAGACCTAGATGGTACACTTTATTGAATGTTTTGCTGATATCGATAAAAACAACGTGCAGAAGGAGGTTTTCACCCCCTGGCTTCGACCTAATCTTCCCTGGCTATATAGTAGGTATGTAAGACAGGATCGTCCTGCTTAGAATCCGTGCTGTTCCTCATCCGGTAAGCCATGTTTCTTCATATGGTCTGATAGCTGACCCCTTATGATTGTTTCTAGTATATTTGCTATAATCTGTATCAGACTTCCGGGCCGGTAGTTGGATACTAACTGCTTGTTCTCCTCTTTGAATATTGGGTTGATAAGTGCATCCCCATAGTCCCTGGGTAGCCTGGTCTGGGTCAAAGACATTTTAAATATCTCCCCAAATAGAATGTATATTATATCTGACAAGGAGATTAGCAGTGTAGGGTGAAGTCTGTCGGGCCAAGTGATTTAAATGGCTCCGGTTTGAACAGTAGTTTGAGAATCACCCCTACAAAAATTGAGGGCATTTTAGTAGCGATGGCGGTGACCTATATACGAAAGCATGAATCTCCAAAGTAAAAGTAATGACTACGTGATCACTACTGTCTAGCGGCGGGAGGCAGTTAATGTTACATATATTCTCCTTCTGGTGTGCTACCACCAAGTCTGGAGTAGGTGGATCATGTTCTGGGCCGCATCCTGTTGATGCATGTGGACGGTGCACAAATTCACGTTCGAGCACAGTCAGTGTAAGTTCCTTGTTGAAACAGGTTAATCGATGTCAATCCCTCCCAATTAATTTGTGGAGGACTATAGCCACTTAGTATTAGATACTTACTTGCATTCTTCCACGCCCCTATCATCACCTCTGCTAGCAGGACTTCTATAAATTGGCTCAATCGTCTTAGTGGCCTAGTTAGAGTTAATGACACAACTAGCGCCTTCATTAGTGCCCCATCGTGCACTTCTGACAACGTTGACCTAATTCCTATGTCATCCCGGTCCATAGGTCAACCGCGACGCCTTTTTCATTAACTACTCTGTCTGATGTGATGCAGATGTACCCAAT